CAGCATGTCATGTTCTTGCACTCTTTCCAAAGTATCAATCTCTAAACACTGTTGGATGCAGTGCATTGGATTTTGGACAGATCATTGGAGTCACCTGACATGGCTGGTTTTATATCTTTATAGTACCTGTGGTATGAGCAGAAATTCCCCGCTTAGCTACTAGTCAACCATTTGTCCAAGAGCTCTTTGCTCCTAAAGCACCTGTAATGCTGAACATTTTGATCACTAAACAAAGCCATTAAAGTAAAACTTATAAATAAAGGCAGGGACACTTTGAATGTCAAGCAGGTGGCTCCATCTATCCTGTGGCTTAAGGGAATTAGGGCCTTCACAGCAAAACCATGGATTCAACAAGGTATTTTGGGTTCTCCTGTCTTACACCCTCAGCTGCACCCTGGGTTTCAGCCACTCTGACGTCACCCAGCAGAGGGCAATGACATGCAGAAAGGAAGGGGTTATTGCAGGCCACCTCTCTGCTAGGGGATCTGAAACCTCTAAAATAGACAGCAAGGAATGTGGGGACCTCCTACTACTGGTCAGTTGCAGTCTTTTACTGGGAAAAGCTGACATGTAAGTTTGGTCTCTTGATTGTGCTCTTCTCCCATCTACCCATCTGAGAAGAGAACTGGTAATGCCAGAGCAGCACCCAGGCTTGGGGACTGCAGTTAGACATCTGTGGGCTCAGGCTCACCTTCAGTCTGCTCAGAATTCAGCACCATGATGGTGATGTTGGTGAAGTCTTGTTGTTGTGCAGTGTCTGTGACAGTAAGCTGGAAGACGTAAGTCCCCGCCTTTAGGTTGGAGATTTCTACCTGATCTTCTTCGTGCTTCTGAGAATGCAAAAGAAAGGCTTATGCAGAAGAAAGTACCTCTAATGAGGGAGTGAGTGAAGCCATGCAAGGCCCATGCTCCTGCATTAGGAAGAAAGGAGCTCAGCTGGAAACACCCAAGCAGATGTCTGGCATGAAAGATGTCTCAGTGTTACACAAACTCCCCAAATCCATGGGCTGGTACCCTCATGGAACAGCAGAGAGAAGGAAGATACCACAAGCTTAATTAGGTATTTCATGTTTTGGGACATTGTGAAGGCACAAAGGAAAATAAAAATCTCTGGAAAGAACTGAAATACCTGCAGTTTGTATAGTACTTTTAAAACAATAAAACCCATTATGAATCATTTACTTAGTACACAGGGAGTAAGCAAGGTGTATTGAAGAAATATATCCCCTTTCATTATGAATATGACAAGTATATTTAGTTTTAGAGATGGAAATGGGAACTTATTTCTTTGCCTACTGAGAAGTTTCTAAAAGAGTGAATAATTTTGTCAGAACAGAAAGCTGTGCTATTATTGACACAAACTTCTTCCCTGTCTTTGCTAACAATATCAGGCCTCCATTTTCACGCTATCTGCCTTTTTTGTTAGGTTTCAAGATACCACATTTTTGCCATGTATCATCTTAATGTAGTTAACAGCACAATACTAGAGGACTAGGTTGGTTGGTTTCTTTCCCCTTGAAAGTTGCTTTGGTTGGGCTAGGGGCAAGGAAGAAGGAAAGGAGCACTTCCAGATTTCCACAGCCCCCTCAGCACCCTAGAGCTAGTAATTTCTGGTCTTCAAAATCTGCTTTTCATTTGCTAATTCTTCCAGAAGGTGCCACAAGAACTCCATATGAGCTCCAAGGTATTCCAGAGCATTTTGCAGAAGTTTATGAGTAATAATTTCCTCTTCTAAAGCCACAATTTACATTCAACATCTTTAAGACAGGCAGCGTTCACACCCAGAGATCTTGGACCCAGTCAGGAGACATGATTTCTCTGAGCTCCAGCTCAGATAAAATAGGAGGAGAGCTCTAAAGAGAGGCAAAGTCCAGGAAAAGCCCCAGGAAAAGAGAAGCAGAGCCTGAGACTGGATCATTCAGAGCCAGAGGAGAGGAAGCACTAAGCTGGAGCAGAGCAAACTTAAGGGCAAGCCCGCACAGAACTACAGGAGTTGGGAGCAGAAGCAGCTCTTGCACCAAAGCTGCTGCTCTCATGGGTGCCCAGTCCAGGCAGAGCAGGCATTGCTCAGGAAGGTTTGAGAGGGTGTCTTGGTGCAGGGAGTCCAAGATCTGATAAGGCCAAGAAATGGCACATCCTAGTAGCATGTAAGAGGGTGGGGGCAACCATGAGGAGTGCTCCACAGCTTTTGAGAACAGGCTAGTGGGTGGATTGGCTCGAGAAGGGAAGGACAAGGGCACCTCTAAGTTAGTGGCTGTGAGAGCCCAACTTAGTGCAGACCACAGGTAAAGCTGCTTCTGTCCTGCAGCTCCCTACCTTCATCTTCACGGAGGGGTCTCCAAGGACCTGTTTCCATTCATAGCTGACTATGCCTTGGTCATCTGTGCTCTCTGTGCCTCTCAGCATCACTGGCTCCCCCGGCTGTACCCTCATGTCCATGCCAGTGCGGGCTATTGGAGGATGGTCATCTGCAGAAGAAATGCAAAACAAGGCTTGGGTAAGAGACTGAAGGGTCCAGTCCTTGTCTCCATTGCAGGTAGACAAGGGAGGGGGATTATTCTAGGCTAAACCACTAAACCACTGAAAAGGGAAATGCACCTTTGTGCCACTTGCAGCCTGAGCAAACAACAGGCAATCAATACCGTTACTACTGACCTCAGTAAATTAGTAACTCCACAACTCACTCTGGCCATGCCTTTGAGCCAGTTGGCTCTCTGGCCACTTCTGCCCCAGGAACCACCATAAAAGTGTGTCCCCGTGGCTACAGCCGCTGTGCTTCTGACCATCCTTTCAAAACAGCACAGAGCAGTCTCCACCCTCCACTTTGGAAGATGACCTGATGTGGGTGTCGAAGAATGTGGAATTGACTCTCATCACTCCTACCACCATCTCTAAGCACTACGTTAGTGTACTTAACCAGAGCTACACAATGTGGGATTTGAAAAGAAGATATCCTTCCTCCACCTCATCTTCCACCCCACTCTCTGACATGCATGCCTTAAAGAAAAAGCACACAAATGCCATTCATGAGATCATTATTTTTGTGCCATTCCATGCATTAACTTACTAGCAGCCTCCATAATCCATTAAACACTTTTCAAAGCTGTAAGAGATGAAAACTGATCCCTGCCTGTGTCAGCAAGAGCAGCCTAAACAATGACACCACTGAGCCTGACTCATAACTCCTTTCATCCTGAACATCTCTGATTGCAGGTTTCCTGCATAGTCCAGCCCATAAAACTCCACCCGGCCGTGCCTGTACCAAGTCAAAGACCAATTTTCAATTTCAACCTGAGTCTTTTGTAAAGGCATCGACTGTCATATGTAAGTTAGATATAAATCACTCTACCATTACACTGTTGTGTCAACTGTGACTGAAGAAGAGGATTAGTGCCCAAACCCCTTGGAAAACTCCTCCACCAGCTAATTACTTTCACTGTCATAGACTCACTCCTAATTTCCTGTTTGAGTGTTTCTGGATTCAGGTCTGAGCTGCTGACTCTTGTTAGAGCCTACTGAACGACCTTCAATGTAAGGCTTACATACAAACAAACCTGACATTCAAAACAAGCTACTTTTTAGTTCTTTCATCACTAAATTCAGTAGGATAGAGAGCTTTGCAATACATATTCCAGATCAGAGTTACCACCAATCCACCCAGAATCTCTTTATTTTCTACTGTCTTCTACTAAATGAAGACCTGCTCATTCTATTGAGGCCTTACAAATGCTGCTGCTGCCAGAAAGTCAAAAGTGAAATAAGCCTTCCCTTGTCTTCATGTTCAAGGATTGTGCTTGGCCTGCTCAGCTGCAAAATCAGGGAGGGTACATGCACACCTGTCCCCTGAAGTTCCCCTGCACCCTGTTCCCCAGCTGCAGCCCTGCAGCTTATCTACCTCATCAGTGGGCTGATGTGGCTGCAACAAGATCAAGCTCATATTGCCGAGCTTGATCCAACCACCAAAACAGACAGAGGACACCCAGCTGGACTGAAAGAGGCCAGGAAGATGACACTTGCATCACAAGAAGAGATACCCACCCTGGTGTCCTTTCACTTTTGGATGAGACATATCTACCTGCTGCATGCCAGAGTGATGGGTTCTGTCTCAGGCACAAAGACTGCTGAAAGACACTAAGGAGAGCCAAGTGAGGGTTGGTAAAAAAAAATAAATGGAGTTTTGCTTTATTTTCAGGTCATCTTTCCAAGGGCCACAGGAGCATTCACAGGCCAAAACAACAACTGGACCTGGCAACACCTTTCAAACCAAGTGGGAAAAAACATCCCCAAAGCCACCTTGTATACAGCACTACAAGCTCTGGAAAGGTGGCATGTTCATGCCATTCCTGCCAGGCCAACACCATGAGCCTGGCAGGCAGAAGTGAAGCCTGCTCCCTGCTGCCCTCCTGCGCGGGTGAGCCCAGCAGGTGGGTGGGATTGCATACGGGAAATACAAGTTCTTCAGCACCACAGAGTCAAATCATTAACTCACAACAACTCCAGATCATACTTTTCCTTCACATTTTTAAGCATGTATACTTATCAATAAATAAATAAATTGCAGGCCAAATATTTCTCCATAGGTCAATTTAGTTACTTTGGGTTGTGGATTGCACAGTGAAGTAAAAGGTTGATTCTGATCAATGAGACATCTATCTCACCAGATGCTGTCTCTGATAAGCTGAATTCCCCAACCCTCCTCACCTCCAAGATACCTGAAAGCTCAGTGACTTTCTACTCCACTGACACCAGGAAGCCTTTGCTGGTAACATGGCTCTTCTCCACCTGAGCTCCATAACCAAGTGCTGACTGAGCTGGAGCAACTATCAACAGACTATTCTTACTCCATTTGGTTTGTTTGGTCTGAATGTTGATTTGAAAAATGAAAGTTACTTTTGCTATAATGCTCTTTTGACCGTGGAAAGCTTCTGCTATAAAACTCTGTAATTAACAGGGAGATTAAAGCTTTATGATGCTGTTTGGTGTTGTGCTCTTTACTGTGCTCCTGGAGCCTCATCATTAAGTGACAACTTCAGCTTCCATTTATAAAATACTTTGGAAGGGGAAACATCTTTCTTTATGATCCAGGAGAAAAGCTTGATGGAGTAAATCCAAAATGCTTAAAGATAAATTTATATGGCTCACAGTGTATTCATGCCTCAGTCCCTGGTTTTTGTTTGTGGGGTTTTTTTCTTATTTCATCTAGCTTTAAGGCTTATGCAGTCAGTGGTTTGTCTGGCTTCACCTCTTAACAGTGAATAAAATGGAACCAAATTTGACAGGGGAACAGGAATCTAAAAGCTATTAAATTCCTACAAGGGCTGTCAGAGTAAGCATATAGGTGGAGGGAGAGATGCCATTAGGGACCTTGCTATCTGAATATGCAGGGCCCAGTGAAATGCCACAGCAGAAAACACTCGCAAAGCTCCCAGCTTGGGGTTTTTCTTTTTGGAGCTCAAATATCAGCTCTCGCCCTCCAGACACAAATTCACAAAAAACCAGATTTCCTCCATTCCAGCGCTCACACAGACACACCCCAAGCACACTAGACTATCAAGCAATGCCTGAGAACACCTCAGAAAGACTTGAGGTTGCCTCTAAAGGAGCTGCAAAGCTTTCCCATGGTCACCGAGGGGCTCTTGCAGCCTGTTGGCTGCGGCGACAGGAGCGGCTCTGCGCCGGGGACACTGAGGCTCTGCCAGGGGAAGGACCTCGCTGGGGACAAGATCACTGTGCAGAGACAGGAGCAGAAAGGAGGCCACCCAAATTCCAGTGGCCATGAGACATGCCACCTGGGAGATTCCAAGCGTCAGAAGCCAGCCAGGCCTGGCTGCTGCTGCTGCAGGCGAGCAGGGCTGGGCAGCAGCGCAGCTCCGATCTCGCCCGTTGAAACTAGAAAACTCTCCATAGTAACAGGCAAATGTAAGGAAAGGAAGATTCTGTTCCCACAGCATGAATTTGCCTGAGGGCAGAGAGAGGGAGAAGGGCCCAAGGCAATGGAACACACTGCCTTGAGAAAGAAAAACAGAGGCTGCTTCTGTAGGGGTTTGTCCTGGCTGCACAGCAAATTCAGTCACAGCAAAGCCCTATCATTTTTTGACAACTCATGCTAGACCAAGCGGCTGTCAGCATTAATTTCTACAGTGGTTTTTACGAGCTGCATACAGCAGGTCAATTTAACCTCTCAGCATGACTGAAATGATTATATATTTTCAGATTAATGCGATCTGCTGCTGCCCCAGGCTCCTTCCATCCTCAGTGTGAGGGAAACCAGTTTGATTTGCTTTAGCAGGCAGAGGGAAAGAATCTCTGGTGGGTCTTTGTGCCATTTTAGTAAAGAGCAGTTGGTTACTCCATTCTGCTTAGATAGTTCCAGAGCCACGAGGTGAGGTAGCCACAACGTGCCACACTTGAGTAAAATGACAAACAGTAGTTTCAAAGTGAGTGGAACCTGCTCATCACCTGCTCTGAACAGGGAGCTGGACCAGCTGGTCTCTGAGGTTTCTTCAGCATACATGAGTTTCTCAATCTGTGATGTGAGAACTGAATGGGAGAGTTCCCCCTCTCCTGGCCTGTGCTTGGCACTGGCAGATGAGGAGCCGGATCAGGGCTGAGCAGCATCAGCCAAGGGGACACCAGTGACTGGACCTGGGTCAGCCCCAGATGGGAACCCAGCATGGGTCATTCTAGTTGCAGTGTGCCTGCAGAATTGAAACCAGCACGGGACCAAACATTTGAAGATGGATGAACTTCAAGCTTGGGGAGCAATCCTTTTTGAATGCACTGCCGAAGTTCTAACATGCAAATCTCCCTGCATGGTGAGGCAGAAGCAGACAGAGCTGGAACCCTGTGGATTCCCCAGCACTTCCTGTCTCCCACTCACAAGCCCTGAATTCAACATGAGGAGAGTGTCACTGGGAATTTCACAACCACCACAAAAGGTTCAGTTCAAGAAACGGACAAAGGTTCAAGGAGGTTATTTTCCAGTTTCACACCCAGAACTGGTTTGCCTAGACCAGAATAAGCTCGGGGTAGTTACTTAAACACTGGGCTCCATTATTACCAATAAAGTGCATGGCGAGCCTGCCCCTCCCGCATGAGACAGGCAGGAAACTCGCACCAAAGTTCAGGCTGGGGAACCTTTTAAGAGGATAGTGCCTTTTAACAACAACATCAGAGACTGTGGGCTGTACGTTAGCTGGAACAGGTACAAGACAGAACCACACCATCATCACCAGTTTATACATGACTCAGAAGCTCTTGTCCTCCAAAATACTGAAAATATACTCAGGTGATCTACAGAAGCTCAGATTGCAGCTGAACTGACCATTGCCTGAACCCTCGTGTTTTTCTGAAGGTGTAACACAGTAAGAGTGGCTGCAGGGGGTTAGGGCAAGGGTGCCTCCAACCCTGTGTTCAGGTTCCAACTCTTGCTGTGGATGTTGGAGCAAGAGCAAGAACATGCAAGCATATGCAATACTTCCATTCTCCCAGCTTTCAGCTCCATAAGGCTCAGGACACACTCCAAGATGAATTTTGTCTGTTCAGCAGCCCCCAGCTGTGCTGTCTCTTTCAAGTGTTATCTAGTCTCCTCCTGAACAGATAAAAAACTCTAAATTGAACAGGTCTGCTCCTTGCAGCAGTACTGTGGGTCCTGCAATACATGGCATTTTTGTTTAATGCCACCCACTGGGACAGCTGAACATATATTTCACTACTCATTAGAGAAAACTACGCTTTTAATCCTCATTACTGCAGAGGACATCTGGAGATTGCCACATGGGCATACCCTAAAGGCTCCTAGGACACTTGACAGCAGCACATAAAGGAAAGGGATGGATGATAAAGCAGCATTTAAGCTTCCTGCAGACCTTTAGAGCCAAGTCTCAGGGGGCTGCTAATATCCCAGGCTCCAGAGCAGCTACAGAGATTCACATTTTAACAGTGATACAGCACAACAGTGGGAAGACTAGACAGTTTTGTCTCCAGTGCAAAACCTGGGCCAAGATTTTTTGTCTATAAACATTTGGGAGGAAAACCCGGCATGCTGAAAACAGCTTCCTTAACACTTGGTTCACCTGGCCTCTTCAGGCATCCTCCAAAGCTCTGGAAGCAAAAATGCTGTAGTCTTTATACGGCCAGGTGGACAGGCTCAGTGCCTCGGGGCTCCTTCATTCGACCTCCTGCACCTGCACCTTCGCCCCCTTCTCCTCTCCCCCTCAGTGGCAGCCAAGTGCCTCCTGTCCTGCCCAGACAGGCCCATGCCTGCTGCCTGCACCCACTTCTAGCACAGGGGCTGGAGGGGCTTGGGCTTTTGGTTTAGCTTTCTTTCTGTCTGGGTTGGAACAAAAATTCTTATCTGTCTTCTTAGGTGTCTCATCAGCTGCTGTGGGGATGAGGGCCCAGCTTGTGTGGTCTCGATTTAGCATTTGTTATTTACTATTTCTCCAGTAAAATAACTCCTTTTCAGCTCTGGATTAATAAATACCAAGCGTCCTTCATCTCTTTTCCTGCCAGCCCTCTGACATCACTCAAGGTGCTTTGGAAAGCTTTCAGTACCAGTCAAAGGACAAAGCCTAAACATTTCAGGAGAGGAGGGAAATATCTTTTCCATCAAAGCACAGAATAAACATCGCAGCCTGATCCGAACACAACACAGCAAGATGTCTGTCACTACAGACCTGCCCAGCACCCTGCACCCTCCGAGAGTGCAAACATGGGGTGTAGAGCCCTTCCTACACTTCATGGCACAAGCCCCACGGGAGTGAGGAGGGACCTGCCCGCCTTGCCAGGCATCGCATCCGTAACAGCATTTCTGGCATGTTCTGCACTTCTCACTGATAACCCCTCCTGGGTCCTCCTGCACCACCACAGCCACCCCAGCATCTGGGAGAGTATGGGGTGCTGGTCTACAAGGGTGAGGAGACTGAATTGCTCAACAGGACATTGTGTTTTAATGTAATCTTGTGAAATCAGGATGTACTGGAGATGATGCATTCCCTTTTCCTCCTACAACCAAGCATGCAGGAGTTCAGACAGCTGCCAGCATGCCAACTCGAATCCTAGAGATGTGGGCTTCAGTTCCTCAGTAGCTGCAGCTCCCATTGAAAGGATTTTGAGCCTGGAATGGAGATACAGGACAACTGCTCCAACCGTGAGATTTACCAGAAGGCCCAAAAATGTGGTGGGAAGCGAACAGGAGGGTCAGAGGACAGAAGAACCACTTGTGCCAAGTTGCTGCTCGAAACAGTGACACCCAAGGACTGCTCTAGGAAAGTCATGCCCTGCTCCAAAATCCCTGCACTGCTACTTTGGATGGACAAAAATGGTCAGTGTGGGGTTTGGTGCCATTTATCACCTCCAGAGCCTACAAGGCTGGCACATCCCAGTAGAAGATCAAAGACCTCTTCAGCTCAAGCAATCCAATCCAAGCCCATGCACACACCTGGACTCTCCCCTTGTCATCTTCACAGAGCCTTTCCTTCCCATCACGGGGAGGGGGCATGAGGAGGATCACCCACAGAGATATCCCCTAACAGCCCTGACCAGGCATCAACACGTAATAAACTGGTTATGGTTGCCAAAGACCTAGTTGGACTAGAGACACCCTGGCCTCATTAGGCTTCCTCCAAAACATGAAAGAAGGAAGCAAGAGGAGGAGTTGCCTTGTTTCCAGTGTTTCTGAAACACACTGCATTTCTTTGGAGATGGCAGATCACACGGCAGGCAGCCAGCTCAAGATCAGTTTGTTTTCCACCTGGTTTTCTGGATCCAGGTGCAATCTTTCAGAGCAGGGAACCAGGGATTAAGAAATTAAAACCAACCACCAAAGGGGGAGTTTTCTAATCAGCTCCCCCCCAACTGCTTCCTCTCCTTCCCCCAGCAGGAAGGACTACCCCCAAAAAGTAGAGCAATACTGAGACACCACCATTCAGGCTGCTGCTCACAAGATTCAGGCGGTGGCCAAATGCAAGGTAGGTGGATTGCGTCCTGCCTCCAGCCCCTGAGCAATTAAAGAGATGAATGCAGCACTTTAAAATCCAGTGGTGTGTAGATTTTTAGAGGATTTCACTTTCCAACCTCAAAGGCCTGGGGAGGGAAAAGAAACCCCGTACCTTTTACTCTGCATTGTCATAAATCGAAAACATAGCCTGCGCTTGGTAAACACTTGCTCCACCTGCTTCAGGCAGGCTAAAGAACACCTCCCTCTCCATGTACTCATAGGTAAACTGAGGCACAGATCTTAGCCGAGTTGATCAAAGTTAGGGAAAACCTTTGCAGCAGAGGTGCCTATAAGACCCCCACCTTTAACACAGCTTCATCTTGCCTGTGTGGCAGCACGGCTGCACAAACGACAGCTGAAGCAGTTGGCACCACTGGCCCTTAGTGCTCTTCCAGCCCTGCTTCTCACAGATCCCCTACAGACCCCTTACCACTAGATCCGTGATCCCGCATTGCCAGGTAGGCATCATACACGTCCTTCCTCAGGAAGTTGAGAAAGCCGGTCTTCCTGGCAAACCTGCAGACGAAAGCCTGCTCGTAGAGGCAGTTGAGGAGAAAGCAGCCCTGGATGTGGTCTTCCTCTGCGCCTGGGACCTGCTCCACGAGAGCCAGGTTACACGAGGGGTCCTTACAGCAGGCCCTCATGCAGTCCCTGCTGCGCTGGACCATGGGGGACGACAAGAAGGTGGCTCCGTTCTGGACGGAGGCGTCTGTGTCCAGCACCAAATCTGGCATCCCTGCTGTATAGTCTTCCAGGCATGTTTCACCAAAGGGTTTTTCTTCCTGCCCCTCACCAAAGTCCGCCGCTAGCACCAAACAGACCCAGAGCACAAACCACGACCCTGGACTCTCTCTGGCCATCTTGGTGTCCGGCTCCTCAGCTCCTTGAGACCGTAATCCTTTCCTAAAGGAAGAGAGAAGACAGATGAAGCCAAGAGGCACAGGTTCCAGGTCTAGGGCACCTGGAGCGCGGCCTCAGCAGTGCTCTGGGTCCCCATTCTCCCCGGGGTGGCCGGTGTGTCCCCCCCACCCCGCAGCTCATCCGCAGGCACGTGCTCCCGGCCCCTCACCTGGCTGGCCTCAGGTGACAGCGGTGCGGGGAGCGGGGCGGCCCCGTGTCCCCCGTCCCCTCACCGCTCAGGTGTGCCCTCACCTGCGGCCGCCGGAGACAAAGGCACCGAGAGCGCAGGAAGTGAACACCAACTCCCTGGGAGAGGGGGGAAAAAAAAAAAAGAAAGAAAGAAATACCCAGTCACTCCCCTGTGTGCTGAATTGCGTAAGAGGAAGGGGAGGAGAGCAGGGCTGATAGCATCTTCCACTCCCCTGGGAAGGGAGCGGAGGGATCCCGGGGCGCTGCGCACACAGGTGCCCGGAAACGCGCTGGGGATGAGCATCCCCCCTGCT